CACACACACACACACACACACACACACACTTGCTTCTTAGATAACTTCGCTTATTTTTAATACGATTGGTTACTGGACAAACTACGTTTTTAATTGAAATGCAACAACGCTCACATGTGTCAACTGCTTGACAAATATGATTATCAGATATTCTTCTTATTTTAACATTACACACATGAACTTCGTCTTTCTTCCGCTTTCTTGCTTGTGACTTACGAAAATTCTCAGAGAGACAATGGCAAAAATGTGATGGAATCGCACCTTTTTTTATTTCTTTCCGGCAACCTACCACCAATACATCTGATGGCTCAAAGTGAACCTGAAATGAGGGAAGCATTAAATGGAGAAGCACTTTTTAAACTATTTTTATTCGGATCCTGCATAACATTCTTATGATGAATACTCACTTCACACAATCTCAAATTATTCAAGGATCTTGATGTCTCTCCAAAAACAGCGTCTACCCATGCTTTCTTATATTGATTTTCCTTGGGAAATCTAATTAATGCATATCCATCACTGGATTTATTAAAACATCTCGCTGCACAGCATATATTTGGCATCTTCAAAATCAATATAAAAATCCAATCTAAGACAAGAGAATCACATTATTAATGAAACAGGTATCTTTAACTTACGTACTACTTATTTTTAACTACGAAGCGTTTATTAATTCAAAGCTTATTTGTGACAATATATACATTACTTTTTCTCACAATTTTGCATAAATGTGATAAATTTACTTACCAAAAATAGTCAGAACCACACGCAACACAAGCTGCTTCAATTCACATGTGTATTCTAGCAGGTTATGGTACACATGTTCAAAAATGGGAAACACGTCATCCATACCCCAGCCAATCAGAATCACTCATAGTCACGTGATGAGTTGGCGAGTCTCTCTTTTAAGGGTCTCTACTTGAAGGCCCGTCTACAATATACGGAGTAAGAAGTAAGAGTAAGAAATTGACCAATCACAGTCGAATGTGAGAAGAATAATCGACTGTGATTGGTCAATTTCTTACTCTTACTTCTCACTCCGTGTATTGTAGACGGGCCTTGAGACTACAAAGCTCCTAAGCACCGGTCGCTGTAATTGGTGGTGTCCAATCGAGCTGTGGTCAATCGGGATCTCCCCGCCGTCTGCCACGGTCCCTCTCTCTCATTCCTATAGATCATTTTGACACACGGATCGCGCCATTCTCTATGTCTTTAGTACGTACTTATATTATAGTATGTACTTAATAGTATATACATTATACATACGTACATTATGCGTGCATTCGTTTATGCAGCGGTTAGCGCAGTGAGTATCATTTAATCTTTGTTCAACACTCGGTGAACAACAAGGATAAAGTAATACTTCTGCGCTAACGGCTGCATAAACGAATGCACGCTATAAAGGCCGCAACACAGACTTTTGCATAACGCATAAGGCATAGTTCATAAGCGAATCAACCAATCAGAGTCCCTTATTTCCATCCCCATTTCTCGGTCTGTAGATCTTGCATAGCGCACAAAGCATAAAACACAAGACGTCGAAAAATCCGTAAGTCCCGATCAACAATAGGGTTTTAAGCCTTAAGCCATAAGAAATGGGCGAATCACAGTCGCTTATTCTTCTTGGATTCGACTGTAATTGGTCAATTTCTTAAAGCTTAAAACACCCATTGTAGATCCGGACTAAAGACAAACTTTTTATGCTATGCAGACATCTTAAGCAGCAGGAATAAGGGCTCTCACACATGAAATGCATAACAGAACATAAGCATAACATAAGGCCGCTAAACCAATGAGCATCTTATGTAAATCAATATGGCGACATTATGCTAGATGCTCATTGGTCCAGCAATCTTATGTTATGCTTACGCTCTGTTATGCATTTCATGTGCTATAGCTTTAAGAAGAATGCTCTCATTCTAGCCTGTTCTAACCTCGAAATGTGTGATAGATAAGTACGTTTAGACATCCCAGATAGGAATATGACGTATTTGTCATTATTTACAAAATTATATAATATAATGATATTGTATAATCATATAATATTATCTTATTTCCAATTGAGACATTCCAAATAGTACAAGCTTATGTACAAGCTTATGCGTTGCTACATGTTACGCTATGCGTTATGCATTATGCCTTATGCATTACGCAAAAGTCTGTGTCGCGGACTTTAGATTTTATATGTACAGTCTTATAGCGTATTTCACTGATTGCACTGGTGCGCACTCAGTGCACATTAAGGCTGTTGTACACTATTCTAATCTAAATATAAAAGTGAGATATTTCAATTGATAAAATGCCCAAAATTTATTTTATCAATAGCACAATAAAATGTATCGAATATTTCACGGTTTAATTCGTTTGTATATTTTTATTAAACGTGTATCTTTACGTCGATTTTTGTATAACGGCGTTGAAGTGTACTGAGTGCGCACTAGTTCTGCCAATGAAACATGCTATTAGGGCCGAGTTTTTGCATTATAGTGCAAAAACTCGGCACGAGCTCCAAGAGACGGTGTCGATCCAGTGCAATATG